AGACAACATTCATTTGACTTTGCAGAGCTGAGTCACAGATCTGACAGAAGTAGGTGAAGCATTTGGAGGCAGGAGAGAACAACAATGCAGTTGAGCCCTCTTAACTAGAATACCGCAAATGGGTTGGATGCTTTCCACAATGATTACCCTGTTTTCTCTACTTTACTTTTGCCTTATTAATAAGATTCCTTTTCTTAGATTATTTTTTCCACTTCTTGTCATCTCCACCTCAGATTTTCCCAATTATTCATCATTACTTTTTGCTATTTTAATGCTTAATATCTCTTTAAAGAATGCTCAACTCTGGCCTTGAAGATGGGAGAGAGAGTTATTCTTGTAAGTGCATTGAAGAAAATTACAGAAAGATAAAGGTGAAGAAAACAATGACAAAAGTAAGGGAACTGGAATATGTGGAAAAACCTGACCTCCATTCAGTGTTAATATAACTGTTTGGCATGGGGTGATAGGCCATGATCTTTCACTTCAGCAGTATTTCAAAGAGAGCTGAAAAGTGAGGTTATTTCAAAGCTGCATAAAAATTTTAACAGCCGTTTTGTGGCCTACATGCTATGAATTGATGAGTTCAGCTCAACTTGAGAGTAAGGGTGACATTCTGTTCCTGTCTGGGTCATCTAAACAGTCAGATCTGGTCATTCACATGACAGTTTTAGTTGCCTATGTGCCCCAAATGCCACTTAGGTGCAGGCTAGCATTTTATTCCTGGGTACAGAGCCAAATGCACTGGGATGACAATGTGCAATTACATAGTCACGTGGAAGCAACTAGAGTAGAGTAGATATGTGCCCGATTGGATGTAGCCTTGGATGTTCAGAAATAAAGAGCACATGTACATGTGCCTCTACAGCACTGTTGTTACTGCACCGTCACTTAGTATTTCCAAAAGGAAGTACTAAATGACGGTGCAGTAACAGCTCATACTGCACCATTTGCATGGTGCATGGTTATTTTTAGCCATTATGTCGCCGTAGCAACACACTATACCAGAGGAGTGCATCACTATGGTCATATAGCTGCAGCATCATGGTTTGTGCCCGCTGATGCTATATTACCATAGTGCATAGCTACAGTGATGTAACATCTCATGTAGACACGCCCAGAGTCAACCAAACTCCATGACTACCAGCCTTATCTTCATACACAGGAAAACGGTGGGGTTGTCCCTGCTTTTTTTGCCCTGCAGCTCAGTGGCTCAAACACTCAGCTGGAAAGCTGGAGGTACTGGGTTCTCAGTCTCCTTACCCTAGAGTAGTGCCCTTGATTTCCCAGCACAACACTCAAACCACCAAGCCACAGCTCAGCTGTTATCTTCTTCAGTGCTTCTTTTGAAGATGAGCCACTAATATATTTGTTGGTAAAAAAAATTAAGAATAGAAATGGATGGAAGTCAGTGCAGGGGGAAACTAATTATTACCCTGATTACTACCCTTTGAGCCTGACCATCCAGCCAGTTTTCTATCCAACTTAGAGTCCATTCAACCAACGCATACTTCCTTAGCTTGCCTGTGAGCATGTTGTGGGAGACTGTGGCAGGGCACTGTTGGTGCCTGCCACTTTAAGGGCCTGGAGCTAGCACCTGCCAGGTGCCTGATGAGGGCAGCCATTTTGAACCTAGGGCTGCCCATATAAACAGGGCAGTTTTGCTGCTGGAGAGTAGGTAACAACACTGCCTGGCTGGAGGGCTGCTGGTATCACCTGGAGGTAAGGGAAGAGCTGTAGGGGATGGTCAGGAGGCTCCTGGTCCTGAGCGTGACCTAAAACTGCACCCTGCTGGGAGTGGGTGGCCTGGTGGGGCTCTCAGTGGCGCGGGAGCCCCCAGGAAATGCCAGGCTAGTTACCACCCTGGTGAAAGGCAGGTTGGAGTGCCTTAACCCCTAGCCCCCACAACTGGGTGGGTAACCCCTTTGTAGGGTCTGGAGGGTGGAGCCCTGGAGAGAGAGAAAAGGCCATAGGATAATGCCTGTCTGGACTTCCCCTGACTGGTCAATGCTGGGGCCAGGACCAGAAGGGTCAAAGGGCCAGGGGCCCACTGTGAGGGATGCCCAAGAGCTGAGGGTCTGGGGTTCCAACTGGCCTGGAGGTGGGCCAGGACTAGTGAGCCAAAGGTCCTAGGGGGACCACACCCAAAGGGGAAGCAGTTCAGGGAGCTATGCTGCCCAGTATGAAGGTGAATGAGACCACCTGAGGAGAGGAATCCAGGCGGGGTTCAGTTAGGAGGATTCTGGGGTCCAGTGTGGGTGCTGGTGATGATGATAACATCTAGATGCCATCTGTGGGCTTGGGCTGCGGTGTAAGGAAGGAATGGAGCCGCAGATAGTGCCCCCTGACATCGCAGCACGAAATGGGCAACCTCCCACTTAATTACATCAACGAACTAATTAACAACAAGGCATGGCAGGTAAGAAGGTGGGCGGTTAGCCCAGAAACAGGTGGGTGGGCCACAGTGAGATCAGCCCAGAGCAGGCCCCCTGTTACAGAGACCATATGAAAAGCCTTGCTAAAGTCAAGGCTGCTCTCCCCATATTCACAGAACCAGTTATCTTGTCATAGAAGGCAATCAGGAAGATCAGGGAAAGCATGAGTTCTTTACTGAATGGGGGAGCAACCTAGTAACAGATGATATGGAAAAGGCTGAAGTACTCAATGCCTTTCACCTCAGTCATCACAGGCAAGGTCAGCTCCCAGAGTACTGTACCAGGCGGCACAGTTTGGCAGAAGGTGAGCACTTGACTATGACAAAAGAACAGGTTAGGGACTAATTAGAAAAAATGGAAATGTACAAGTCCATGGGGCTGGAGGCAATACACCTGAGGGTGCTGAGGGAGTTAGCCGATGTGACTGCAGAGCTGATGGCCATTATCTTTCAAAATTTGTGGTGTTTGGGAAAGGTACTGGATGACTGGAAAGGGGCTAATACCACGTGGCCCTGAACTGCATTGCTGGACTGGGGGGCATGGGCCATACCAGTGCCCCGGGACCAGGAGCAGGTAGAGGGTGTGTGTGTGTGTGGGGGGGGTGTGGTGTGTGTGTTTTCATAGGGTGAGTCCCACATGCACACCCCACCATACATATGCACTCACCCCCCCACACTGCTATACATGCAGACCCCCACACCCACACCCCCTCATATATCCCAGCCATTTCCCCCACAAATCCCATACTCACCCACACCCCACATATCCACACACACAGCCACATGCTCCCTCACCCCACACCCCCACAGACATACCCATGTCCTCCCCCACACTCCACATACCCACACATCCACAGCCCACAAACCTATACCCACCCCCCCACAACATACAGGAGTAAGACTTCCTTTTAAGCTATTGTGCAATCACCTCCATGTACGCTACACAAACGCATGTAAATCAGGAGAAAAATACTTTTTGAAATCAAATTAATGAATGCTGTCAATGTTTTCTTTTAGAATATAATTTGGTATTTTTCTGGTTCTGAGATGGCGAAACCCCTTGCTGAAAGGAGTACTTCTGGGGGTGAGGGAAAGGGCTTCTGGTGGCAAAGGTCAGGGGTTAGGCTACCCATGCGGCCCTTGACAGCTTGCCCAAACTCACTAAGCGGCCCTCCACCCAAAATAATTGCCCGCCCCTGGGTTAGCCTCATGTCAGTCCCTGGAACAATCATGAAGTAGGTCCGCAAGGGGCATGTCTACACATGACCCTGACTGTGCAGTTGGTACTGTGCAGTCATTTAGTACTTGCTTTAGCACTAAGTACTAAATGACTGCACAGTACCCACCAGTACTGTGCAATCCCAATGGCGCACAGGTTATTTTCGACCATACTGTGCAGTAGCAACCAGCTACTGTACAAAAACTTGTTGCTACTGCACAGTAGCAATGGTATTATGATTAGTGCCCATCAATGCTATGGTGACATAGCATCTCATGTAGACACTCCCAAAAAATCCATTTCTAAGCACTTGTAAGAGAAGAAGGTGATTAGAAACGGTCAGCATGGATTCACCAAGGGCAAATCTGATTGCCTTAGATATTAGGAAGGACTTTCTCATGAGGGGGTAGTAAAGCACTGGAACAGGACACCCAGAGAGGTTGTGGAGTCTCCATCCTTGAAGATTTTTAAGACACAGCTAGACAAAGCCTTGGCTGGGATGATCTAGTTGGGGATGGCCCTGCTTTGAGCAGGGATTTGGACTAGATTACCTCCTGAGGTCCCTTCCAATCCTAATTTTCTGATTCTAATTCCTCACTGAGAGCAAGGGCCCCAGCTAGAACCCAAAGCCCCCTCCAGGCCAGCAGTCACCTCACCAAGCTACACACCTGGGTTTCTCTCCTCCTCCCAGCCACACGTATGTCCCACATACCTCCCCCCTCTCATGGCTGCCAAAGAGGCCATCTTCAAAAGAAGCACCAGAGAAGGACTTGGATCACAGTTGACCTGGGCTGTAATATTTAAGAGCACTGGACTGGGAAGCTGGGGACACCTACATTCAAACTGGGTCTGGGTGGGGGGGAACCACGAACCCTAGCTTCCAGCATACTATGTGCTGGGGAGAAGATAGGAGCATGCTTTTCTCTATCGTTTTATTGGAAGTGTATATGCCCAGTCTGGGCACATCCACAGTCATGCATAATTATCCATGCACACAAGGCTAGGTATCCAGGAAAAGAATGCCAATCTGTGCATAGGTGACATTTTTTAGACAACCATATAGATGACCAGACCTGGATATTCTGATGACCACAAAATAATGTGTCTCCATAAATATCTACTTCTCTCTTGCACATGCTTACGAATTACAACAGGCTTATGTTCATAGACTTATGGTAGCAACCGAAGACTAAAGGGGAAGTGTGTGTGTGTGTGTGTGTGACGCTACATATCCTTTGGTCGTTTGATGAGAACTCTACAGGTTGTACTTTAGTGAGGGCCTGCAATAGGTACTATTGCAGCAGCTTGCCACTAGGTGGCAGGAAACAGGCACTTGCCTGTTCACATGTAGTAGACAGTTACCCAGGACAGCTTCAGATATCTCACTTACACTGACTTTCCCTAGGGTATTTCTACAATAGCTTCAAGTAAGTTATATCTATGTTGGCTTGCATGTTATATGTCTGCTTCTTGCTTACACTGGGGCAAAGGCATCAGTATAAACATGTGTCCAAACCCTAAGGATATTGGTTGAATGATGTGGAAAAATTTTGAATTGCCATTTCTCTAAGCAGTGTCTGTGCTGTAGTATTTCAGTGTATAGTTGTATCAACCCACCAGCTTTTTCATAAATGCACAGCTATAAATACCCATATGACAGCTGAAACCAAGAGTCATCTACAGTTATGGTTGCCTAAGCAATTCCATGCACATAGCTTGTTTGTTTTTGCTTTTAAATTTCCAAATTTGGAGCTAAAACTTTTGAGACTAGGCTTCTGCTTGAGATTGGATTTCATTTTATTTTCTGAAAGCTTGATCAAGCATAGACCAGCCAATTTTTCAGAACAAGGAGATTTAAAGAAAAAAAAAAATACCCCTTTTATAAAAACCTTTTACATTTTATTTGAGTTTAATTTACAGTTTTGGCATGAAAGCAAGTAACAACAAAGCTAAAATTTGACAAAAAAGATAGCTGTTAGGGAAGAGAAAGTGAAGTCTTAGAAATCTTACTTTGTGCAGGTGCAGTAGGTTTTTTATTTTGTTTTGTTTTGTAATTATATCACTTTAAACAACTCGCTTCCAATTTTCTAAATGGAATCTCTTACCCACAGTCACTATCCTCTTGACTTTGCCTTTTTAATTTTGAAAAGCTTCATTTTAAATTCAGACAGCTTTTGTGAGCAGAGGCAACATTCACATGACCTATCTGAATTCAAAACAAAAGAATGGAAAATGGGAGCAAGTCCAAAATGCAATCTCAGAGAATATATTCAAGTCCCCCATACTTTTAAGGTAATATTATCCCACTGGGATAGCAATTTACATGAGACACTTCTGGTTTCTTCTTTGCCTAGATGAAATGCTATCATGTGACCATTTATAATTCTGACCTATTGCTTGGGGAAAGTAAAAAACCAAACAAACAAACAAACAAAAGGCAACTGTTAACAAAAAACAAGTAGCGGCTTATTTTACTTCATGCTCAGCTACACTATGCTTTCAAAACGGAAATGCTTGATGCAGCACCCATCATATTTCTGAGATCCTTTTCAAGGAAGATTTACAGTAGCCTGTTTGAAAAAAATAGGAGAGGAATGAAAACTGAAGTTTTGGAGAAAGAGCTGTGTGAAATGCTGCCCAAAAGATAAAAAAAAAAAAAAATATATACCCATTGAGATTGTGTAATAAAGTCAAAGACCTTCAAGCTTTGGCCACTCACCAAGAACAAATGTTAAATAAATTCTTACATTTTTACTAGTTCACAAGATATTGCTGATTCTAACAATATTCTCCACTAAACATATAGCTCTCTCTCAAAAAGGCAGGGAATCTGAGTTTTTAGTGAAATGAATTAAATGTTAATGTGACTATCAAGTCACAAAAGTGAGGTAGGTGCCCAAATCTACAGACTTTTAACGGTACACTTTGTGTTTTTGAAAACCTAAACTGTATAACAATCCCTATATATGCACCCCTTATATATACCTCCAATATAACAATGCTGGAGTTTGACTGAAAATATCTAAACTTCCCATTTCTTTGCATCTATAGTAGGCTAGTCTTCCTGCCGTCTGCACTTTTTGATACACTAATGCAGCTGCCACAAGATGACACTACAACAAATAACCATACAGAATTCCTGCTTAAATCAGTAAACTCTTACGCACCAGTGTGCAACTATACTAGCAATATGTAACAGGTCAGGGTTACTAACCCAAGACATTATGTTTCATAGATTTCATAGACATCGGGGCTGGAAGGGACCTCGAAAGATCATCGAGTCCAGCCCCCTGCCCAAAGGGCAGGAAGTCAGCTGGGGTCATAGGATCCCAGCAAGATAAGCATCCAGTTTCATCTTGAAGGTGTTCAGTGAAGGTGCTTGAACCACCTCCAGTGGCAGGCTGTTCCAGACCTTGGGGGCTCGGACAGTAAAGAAATTCTTCCTTATGTCTAGCCTGAAACGATCTTGAAGTAGTTTGTGACCATTCGACCTCGTCATCCCTTGGGGCGCTCTGGTGAACAAACGTTCCCCCAGATGCTGGTGGTCACCCCTGATAAACTTGTAGGTGGCCATCAGATCACCCCTGACCCTGCGCTTTTTCAGGCTAAAGAGCCCCAGGGCTCTCAGCCTGTCATCGTAGGGTCTGCTTCCCTGACCTCTGATCATGCGCGTGGCTCTTCTCTGGACTCTCTCAAGCTTCTCCACATCCTTTTTGAATTGTGGAGCCCAAAACTGGAAGCA